TAAGTCAGCTATTGAGAACCCAGCAATGATTGTGTGTGTCACACATTACATGTCCATCCAATACACAAAAGTCAGCTATTGAGAACTCCAGCAATGTTTTGTGTCGCACATATCTGTCTATCCAATACACAGTAGTCAGCTACCCAGAAATGATTGTGTATGTCACACATCTGTCCATCCAATACACAGTAGTCAGCTATTGAGAACCCAGCTATGATTGTGTGTAGTCTCACACAATTACTGTCCATCCAATACACAGTAGTCAGCTATTGAGAACCCAGCTATGATTGTTTATTCAAATTAGTGTGAGGCGATATTGTATTACAAAGGACACTTTAAATGCCCAATTTGAAATTAGTGATTCATTATAAACGATAGCTGACGTAAAAATAATAACACACATTACTGTCCATCCAATACACAGATAGTCAGCTATTGAGAACAAATAATATTCAGTCAGCTATGATTGTGTGTGTCACACATTACTGTCCATCCAATACACAAAAGTCAGCTATTGAGAACCCAGCAATGATTGTGTGTGTCACACATAGCTGTGGGAGTTACACGGCACGTCATAACAATTTACAACAATATTCAGTCCTGTCCATCCAATACATAAAAAGTCAGCTATTGAGAACCCAGCTATGATTGTGTGTGTCACACTTTTACTGTCCATACAATACATAAAAGTCAAAGCTATTGCTATTGAGAACCCAGCTATGATTGTGGTAACGGCGAGAACCCTTTGCCACAAGTTCGGTTTTGTTATCCACCAGTCAGGGCACATATCTGCTGATCCAATACATGAGAGCAGTAGTCAGCTATTACGATGCAATCTGATGCAAGATTTGTTGTCAGTTTTAATTGCCTTCATATGTGAAATCAAATCAAATATGTATCACAACACGAATATCATTGCAGAATACAGCAAATATGTTTAACCATGATAACACCGTGTCTTGTTTTTCATTTGCCAATAGATCGTAGTTTCACAATAGCTAAGGTTCCACTATCCCAAGTTTTGTTTCTCATCATCCGTGTGATTTACGAACACTTTGCTCTTTGACAAAACTGTCACGACCTCCAAGATTCAGATGCAGTGTAAAAACGCCCAGTTAGGCAAACTGTTCAAGAACTGGTAACCGCCATTGTCCATTTCAATCTTGTGGGCTCCATTTGATTAAAGACAATTGTCCAAAGACATCAGCATACTCACACATTCACCACACTGTCAAACACGTATCAGTTCATCATCGGATTAACCATCAGTCTTGATATGAATATTAAACATTGTTAATGGTAATTCCGTGCAAATCGCCAGGTCCCACGTATCTTTCCAGCACGAGCAAGAATGAAAAGTGTTCACTAGCCAAGAGAATGTTAGGAGTTGTTATGAATCAACGGAAGAACCGCAAGAGTGAGTGAGCATAGTTTTACGGGGCGTTTTAGCAATATTCCAGCAATATCACGGCGGCAGACGCCAGCAATGGGCTTCACACATCGTACCCATGTAGGGAATCGACCCGGGTCTTTGGCGTAACGTGCAAACGCTTTAACCACTAGGCTACCCTAACTCCCAAGAACAGCTAGAAGACACTTTGGGAACAATCGTTGAATTCAATCCTCAAAACCTTCAGCAACATACGAAATGAACGCAAATGCAGTGTGATATGGTTTGAAAAATAGTTTGGTGACATCTAGCCACCAGGCGCTGAAATAATTGTTTCGTGTTGTCATGCAATACGAGTTTCTTACGAACTGCTCGTTATGAGCTGATTATGTTCATAATGACGAGAATTAGAATCTCATTACTGTCCCAATTTAGGATGTTCACTTGTATGTAATTATTAGCAAATTCATAAGAAGATTATATTCTCATTTGAATGTGCCATCATACCAATATCCTGACGAGTTAAAGAAAACTGGATCAGGTAAAACATGATATCAAGACGTTACTCAGATGAAAATGAACGCCACAACACTGCAAACTCATCGTCCAAACACCTCCTTGATACCTCACCATCGAGTCAACCATTCTTGCTGGTTTCTTTTAAGCCTCCAAGAACAATGGCAGCCTATCTTTTTCTGCCAATCAGTTGAGCAAATTTCAACGCATTCGAAGATAAATTCTCAAACCCAGAGTTACACAAAACGGTATAAATGTATACTTATCACAAGTGCAGATCGATTCTCATGCTGTTGATCACTGGTTTGCCTGGTCCAGACTCGATTATTTACAGACCGCCGCCATATAGATGGAATATTGTCGAGTGCGGCGTAAAACAAAACTCACTCACTCACAGGTATTGTTCTACTTTTAGGGAATGGATGTGATAACGGGAAGACAACGATATGCGACAGTAACGACACTACCACGACCGCGTCAATACGTGGTATTTCGACTGCATGACAACTGTCTATAAACCATTGCACAGGACTGATTTATGCAACATACGACATTGAGCCTAATGAAGCCTTGAGATTTTAGTACCACCGGCATCTGGCTTAGCTGCTGAATTAATGGTCAGCGGATCCTGCGGGTATAATCAGAAGCTGAATTATGATTTGGGCATGTCAGACGCAAGACCAAGTATATAACATGACGAGGGCTGCAGAGTTATGATCTTCCCAGACACGTCCTTGACCTACCGGTACAGTTATCTTGTGATTAATCATGGAATGAGAAATAGATAGAAATTATAAAATCATATTAGTGTTCAGTTTCAGAGCTGAGGTAATCTGGATTTTCCAAATCGTTCTAGACTTGCATTTGATTTTCTGTTAATGTATTCTCTTTTGTCTGATAATGATAGGAATTACAGAAATGGCAGCAACCTCGGACTACTGACTGATGTAAACGTTAAACATATTTGATGATATTAAGCATCAGGTTCTAGTTTTTGTTAGTTTTGAATATAATGGAAGTTGTTAAAATGTGATTAGATAGCGTATATGTTAATGGAATGCATTTATATTATGTATCTATGCATCATACATATCATACGTATTCGTAATCCATTCCGTTTGGAACGAGAGTGTTAAATAATCTGAGCTCTGTAAACCTGACTCAGTGTTACAAGTCTTCTGCTGGTGTGTGAGATGACGTCACAGATGCACGCTGACCAGACAGTGCGTGTAAGTATATGCAGATATATGCGCACCCAAGAAATCGACCCGTGAAGACCCCAGTTAGAATTGGTCTTCAGTAACCCATGCTTATTGTAAAAGACGACAGACGGGATCGGTCAGGCTCACTGACTTGGTTGACAAATGTCATCGTATCATAATTGCGTAGATCGATGCTCATGTTGTTGATGACTGGATTGTCTGGTCCAGAGTTGATTATTTACAGACCGCCGGCATATAGCTGGAATATTGCTGTGTGTGGCTTCAAACAGCAAACCAACCACCCAACCCAAGCATTCCATTCAAGCATCCCAGGTCTTCACAGCGAGCAACAAAATGTCTCATTTTGATCCAACGTTCAAGGCGATGACCATTCTCTCAACCCCCGGTATGCCTATTCTTTAAGGTTACTCAGCTCGTTTCTAGTGTTGTCATGGGAATACAAGACGGAACCGTAACCGTGTTTTAACTATCTGTTCTTATTCTGCGTTTTTACATTCATGAGCAATACCAGTTGTAAATATTCAAACCTAAAATCCTTATACCTAGCTACCATAATTATTCTATAAGAAATAGTCGAATGAAAAACTAAAAAATAATTACAGACTCGATCAATATGGGAAATTGGCCCTGAACTGCGGGAATAGAATGTCTGTGGTTGGGGCAAATGCTCGAAGCCTATGAATTCCAAAAACACGTTAGAGACTTCTTCGTCAAATCTACCATAACGAGCTTGTTAGATTTACCGCCCAAGATACTCCAACACGCGGTCGCCATTTGTGCATCTCATCACAACGTATCAGGTCAGTTTTGGGTCACAGTGACCCTTACACTCTATAAAATAAGCATTAACCATCCACTTCGTACCTGCCCTGAAGTCAAGCAGATAATGTTACCATGACGACAGGGGTACGACACAGGTTATGGCTCCGTGTCTGTGGCTGTTACCATGGAGATCTATTCTCATATTAATGATGGTGAACATGATTATGGTGTCGACATAACACTTTGTCTACACGTAATCATGCGCTTAGAACCTTTTCATTTCATTTCACTGTGTCCTGATGTATAATGTGAGGTGGTGGGGTAGCCTAGTGGTTAAAGCGTTCGCTCGTCACGCATAAGGTCCGGGTTCGATTCCCTTTTCTGATGTCCCCCGCCGTGATAGCCGTGATAGTTTTCGAATATTGCTAAAAGAGGCGTCAATTACTATTTAGGTGATATATCTTCGTAGATGTTTCATATCATAATGTGACATTGAGCATTTGATACCGCTAAATTTCATTCGAAACAAATGTGTCAACACTTACTTCAGCTGTGTCGGGATCATAGCTACATTACTGACAGTGGGGTAAACAATGACATTCACTTTTAAACCACAGGTAATATACAATGGATATATGGCTGATCTTGCTACACACATAACTGTCTTTCAGTAAGCCTACACATTAGATGACGAAACTGTCTTCTCGATCCTACTCTGAACAATATAATACACCCAATGTGAAACATAAGGTCTGTACAACTTCTATGTTCTACCATGATTGAAGGCTATGGTTAAAGGGTTGGTAGCACAAATACCGGATCGACTTTCGCACTGGGTACACTATTTGGAGTTAATTCTCGGTGTTATCTGCTGTAATGAGTGAGTGAGTGACTTAATATTTAACGTCACATCGGCAATATCTCAGCCATGTCGTGACGAGAACATATTTGACATTGAAATGGAATAATTATATGATAAAAACCTGTCGACGAAGGACAGTAAAACAACTAGAATATCACAATTAGAATTAAAACTATCGTGGAAAGTTAAAATTAATAGCAATAGTTGGACAATACAATATAAAAACAGGCTATAGATCGCCAACAACTGAAGGTAGATCACCATACTAGGAACCATGGGGACTTACATTACTTTTGCTACCTGCATGGAGCCTAGCTGGATTTACACCATCCCTTCAGCCGCTGGCGATTGTAGGATAATTTAGCCGAAATTTAAAACAACAAAAATACTACGTTTAAAAACTTGGTACGTGAAAACTTTACTTTGAAAGTTTTTGGGACTTACGTACCCTCTCAGGAGGACAATAATTTTACGCTACTTCAACCCCTTTGAGGATACAGCCACTAACAATCTAAGTTGAAAATCTGAACTACAAATTATAAAACCTTATCTATTTACAAAACATATATCAAAATTCATTTAACAAGTCTATCTCTTTTACAAAATCAATGATTAAATGATAATTAACTTTATTAAAAAGGTCCTTTACTGTTTTGATATTGAAATATTTTTCCCTTATGATGGAGAATTCAACACAGTCAAGCAGGACATGCTCGACCGTGGTTCACTCATCACAAGGGATACAAAACGGAGGATCCTCACCTTTCAATAGGTATGCATGAGTATATCGTGTGTGGCCAATACGACATCGTCGTATGATGACCTCTTCAAATCTGGACTGACAACCCAAGTGTAACCGATAAAGGGTTTTATTCATGTAATTTGTTAATACCTACTTGGGTGTCCCTCTTCTTTTGCATCAGATCACGGATGTAGGTTCTAATGCTAGCTTTGTAATCAGAGTATGGAATAAGAAGTGGTGTCACAGATTTATTGAGTCCTGCTTTGGCAGCAAGATCAGCCATTGTATTCCCAGAAATGCGAACGTGGCTGGGTAACCAACAAAAGACGATGTCGCATTGGCCAGTAGCAAACTCATTATACAATTCAATAATTTCTAACAAAAGTGGATGTTTACAAGAAAGATTTTTAATAGCCTGAAGACACGAAAGAGAATCGGAAAAGATGATGTATTGTTTATATTTACGGTGTTTATTAATACATGTATATACTCATGCCAATAATGGTTGTCACCCCCTTCAATTTTTTTAATTGGAGAGGGTGTGTGTGTGTGGGGGGGGGGGGGGGTGACAACCATTATTGGCATGAGTATATTTAAGAGCTGTTAATATGGCGTTAGCTTCTGCTGTGAAAATAGAGCTGTTATTTGGTAGTCGAGAAGATATTGTTCTGGATCCAATGACAGAGGCACCTTTACCGCGCCACCATCCTTGGACCCATCTGTAAATAAGGATTTGTATGTATTATTTGTATTTCTTAATTGATTATATTCTTGTTTATATTGTAATTCATTAGTTTCAGATTTCTTATACTTTGTCAGAGTTAGGTCAACTTCAGGTCTCACCAGTTGCCAAGGAGGAGAAGAAAGAAGATGGGAAGGAGATATATTTCCAGCTCAATGCCGGCAGCAGAAATGAATGCTTTAATTCTTAGCCCAAGAGGCGGAACACGAGAAGACTTTCTGTTGTATAAATCCTCATAAAGAGGATTGAAAACACTGTTAAATGCAGGATTAGACTCGTTAGAATAGAGTTTTGTTATATACTGTAACGATAATTTAATACGACGTTGGTTAAGGGATGGCTCATCAGCCTCAACATAGAGACTATCAATAGGAGAGGTTCTAAAGGACCCAATACAAAGTCTCAGGCCTTGGTGATGAACAGAATCAAGTAGTTTTAGGTTGCTTTTGCAGGCTCCATCATATACGATGGAGCCATAATCAAGTTTCCAGCGGACCAATGATCGATATAGGTGGAGGAGGGTAAGTTGATCCCCTCCCCACTTAGAGTTGGAAACAACTTTCAACAAATCAAGGGCCTTCAGGCATTCAGTTATAAGGGATTTAATATGCGGCAAAAAAGTTAAATGGGTGTCAAAAATTAGACCCAAGAACTTGGCCTCCTTGACAACTTTGATGGGAGTGCCATTTAAAGATAGTTCTGGGTCTTTATGCGGCTTCTTTTTTCTACAAAAGTGTAGACAATTAGTTTTGGACTTGGAAAATTTAAAGCCGTTTTCAAGACACCATTTATTTTTTTTATTTAAACACAACTTCAATTGCCGTTCAATAGTATGCATATATTTACCACGACAAGAAATATTAAAATCATCCACAAAAAGTGATCCATCGATTGAATCGTTTAAAACCTTGAAGGCCGGGTGGGACAACTTAGGAACGGCCAGCGAGTCCTAACTTGACACATAGAAGGAAGCGAGCTACAAAGACAATTTTATATCATTGGAAAGATGTCGAGGAGATGAAACCAAAAAGTTCATGTGCTAGTGCGCTCACGTGTTCATAAGCTCACAAATTGGCTCTGAAAATGCATTATTGCAGAAATTTCTTGCAGAATCTTTTTTTCCGCAGACGTTCTGGCAGAACTATTTTTTCCCGAAGAAATTTCTGGCAGACTTTTTTATTTCACTACCAGAATTATCTTAATTATCAAATTAGACACGATCTTTGGATAATTTAATATGGACTTTCTTCAAATGATGTTGTTTTCTCCTTTCTTCAACTTCAAGTGGGAGGGGAAATGGTTCCCAGAAGTAGATCGCCGTACAAATCTTACAAGGCATATTTTAACATCTTATCAAGACGTACTGATTTCTTTATACATCGTTTATTCACACTCTGTATAACATGAATTTCATTGGGCTAAGTTGCAGTCATCTCTGACATGAGTCCCGTTGTCCCTTTGGTACGGTTTACCACTGAATTGTATATTGCAGATGTGTACTCTTGAAACCACAAGGAAGCCATTTTTCAAACAGTCTTGCAATAATCGAATCAGGATTAGGTGTCTTCCCCTTAAGACGACATTTGGTATTACAGTGAAAATCCTTTGATGTTTCGCCGAGGTAGACTCATGTTGTTTTAATGGATTTGTGAGGTGGGTTATACTATAAACTGAACTGCATAACGAAATCGGTGTTCGATTTCATGATATCAACTCACATTGTAATATGAACATGATATCAACTCACTGGTTGTTGATTTCCATTGGTATCAATTTATGCCCTGAACCCTATGTAACCAATACGATGTTAAGACACCACCACAAGTCCTTCATGTGCATCGAGACTGGTAGATTCGCTAAGCCGCCTATCCCACTAAATGACAGACTTTGTCCACTCTGGCCCCTGTATATCGAGGATGAAGCCCACTTCACCATCACGTTTTTAAATTGGCCCTGAAAATAGATCATGCGTTTATGCAGAAAAAAAAAAGACAAATATTTTTTTTTAAAGCAAAATCCTCAATGCCACCTTCTACTTGCTTCCAAAATGCATCTTATGGCGAGAAGAAGAACCTCACTTTTGATATAGTATATATAGTATACATATTTTAATATGCTTATATCCATGTGTTTTGTGTCTGTTCATGTGGGATATATGTGTGTGTAAGGTGTGTAGAGTGTGATAAAGCAAAAAACAGCCTGAGTGCGTGCAGTATGTAGTAAACTGTATGTGTGTATATGTATGTGTATGTATGTGTGTACCTGTGTATGTATGTGTGCACCTGTGTATGTATGTATGTATGTATGTATGTATGTATGTATGTATGTATGTATGTATGTATGTATGTATGTGTGTGTGTGTGTGTGTGTGTGTGTGTGTGTGTGTGTGCGCGCGCGCGCGTGAGTGCGTTATTGCGTATGTACGTGTACATGTTTGTGCGAGAATGTCATAGCGTAAGCCTGTGATTGTGTATGTGAGTGCGTGATTGTACGATGTGTGTGAATGCAGGATTGCGTGAGGGGTTGAGTGAGTGCATAATTGCGTGTTTGCGTGTGAGTGTGCACGTTTACGTCAATATGGTGAAGTGCTTTTATAACTTTTGTGTGATTAAAATATCATGTTATTAATCTGGAATGTATGTAATGGTGTGTTTTATTTGTATTCTCTTATTTTATTGTATTACTGTGATAATGCTTGTGATTTTAGTGTCTCAGAGGCCAAATGGCCGGGTGCTGTTTGTGTTTAATGTATGTCTGTAATGTAATGTACTGTATTTTATTGCAAAAGCACGTGACACTTTAATAAACATTTTCTCTCTCTCATCAACATGACTTAAGCAGTTCAAATCCGCGGACACAAGCCCTCCATCAACAGAGATGAAGGATATCTCATCCCATCTGCATACAATGAACTGATAGCAACAACTTAGCAGAGCATTCCAGCCATGTATATTTTCTACCTCTTGGACATTTGACTTCCTCCTGTTGTCACTGCTTTATTACCGCTATCCTACAGTTGTTGTAGAATACATGACATGTTATATAGTTGTTGATGTTAATCCCTTTGATGCATTCCTACATGTTGTTTAACTTAATCCCTGTAAAGTCTGATCTGTGCAAAGAGTGGGCACCTGCTCCTTTTGATAATTATGATTACCCCTCTCTAATAGAATTTTGTCAGTTGTAATGAATTATAGTAACCCTTATCGTAGATCACCCAGCCTCCCATTCATGCATATAATTCTTTTTTTTTCGTATCTTAGTTATTTCAGTCATGTGAAAATTCTTCTGACAACAGATATTTGCTTGGACACGAAGCCGTTGCCTACCTTTTCCTGTACCACATAAAATCTGCATGGTATGCCGGTTGATATTGTTATTTGAAATCGGCAGACTATGCACACCTGTTGTTGCTGCAGGACAAGAAATATTTCCGATACGACATTGTAAATACTTGGGGGTGCAGTCAAATGACTTAAATATATTTGCGCATGCTGCTTAAGTATGTCATATCTGTGTAATACCACAATATACATGGATAAACTACCAAACTATGCATCGTTTAGAAAAAAAAGTTCTGAGTTAATGCCTTCCTACAATCAACAAAATATCATCATCTGGTGTTCAACTGAACCGACAAAACGTAATGGATAGAACCCAAAAGACATTGTTTTGGTGTATTCCCTGAGTGGCCGCTCTCTGGATTACGCAATTGTTAATTGCGGTGGCCACCAGGGACAACCGAACCAGGACGGTGGCCGCTTATAGGGACAGCCCGTAAACAACCAATTACTAGTATAAGGTGTGAAAACAATTAGATTTTCTCGGGTATTGTCACTTTGAACAGTGATACATTGTCGCTTAGGTATTACTTATCATCTCAGCTCGGTACGCTGGTCATGTTGAGCGTGTTGATGGAGGCATTTCTAGGAATATATAGATGATCAAATATTGTTATTATGTATCTAGTATGTGTCCAAACACTGACCAATCAAATTCATTATTAGGAGGTTAGAGTCTGCAAAAGACAAATCTAGAGAAGAGTAGGTGCCGGTTGCAGGGTGCAGATAAGTGCTTGAATCGTCATTGTATATACACAAATCATTATTGGAGATAAAATCTTCCAGTATTTTACCTTTTGAGTTATTAGTGTTTGTACCACCCCAGATCGGGTTATGGCCATTGAGATCACCCATTATAATACAAGGTTTAGGAAGTTGGTCATAGAGAGCTTGAAAATCAGACTGCTGGAGTGTTGAAGAAGGCGGAATATACAGAGAGCATAGTGTAAAGGTAACGTGAAGAGTAAGTCTCACTGCAACGGCTTGGAGATTAGTTGTGAGTGTTACAGGACTATGGATAACATCCTGCTTAACAAGTATTGAAGACCCTCCAGTGGCCCTGTCACCCGGAGGTGAAAAAGAATTATATGCAACGAACTGACGTAAATTAAAAATATCTGTCTGCTTCAGATAAGTTTCCTGCAGACAGAAAGCTGATGGTGCAAAATCTTGGACTAATAGCTGTAACTCATTAAAATCCTCTACAAACTTAATCCTCTACAATTCCACTGTACTATATTTTTGGAATGGACTATCGTTTAGGTGGGTTGATTGGGATCTACCCCGCACTTTCTTTGAGGGCGACAAGCTATGTGCCCTTGGATTGGTGTGATCAGATACATCCATTTCCTCCAGTGATCCAAACTTGTTAAACAATTTTATTTTATTATCTGACCCTTTAGGTGTTCGATTTGATTTGGACGTTTCTGTTCTTGTCTTGAATTTCGATTTTGCAGTTAGTTTTTCATTTCTATCAGACTGAGAAGGAGTGTTGGTTGCAGGAGATACGATCTGTTCGGTAGAAACTGATGTATCTGTCTGAGTAGACTGTTCAGGAGAGATAGACTGGGGAATATCTGTATTCACGCATGTCAGGTCAGTCTGACATGAGCTTGACGAAGTCATGATTGGTGAAGTTGTTCCTTTTGAGGACGTTTCAGATGTTTTGGTGACGGAGGCGTACGTTTCAGTGTGTTCAGTAGATTTGACAATCTTTTTTGCTTCAGCAAAACTGACGTTTCTGGAAAATTTGATTTTATTAATTTCCATTTGCCTTTTCCAAATTGGACATTATTTAGGAAAGGACGAATGACTTCCAGAACAGTTTGCACACTTTTTGTAATTACTGTCACAATCTTCTGTTACATGTGGATTCTCAGCACAGTGAGCACATGTAACAGACAATGTGCAAGTATTAACACCATGTCCGCACTTTTTACACTTAAAGAAGCGCAGAGGATTTGGAATATATAAGTCAACATTCAGATTGCAGAAGCCTGCTTTGATTGACTTTGGACGATTTGGAGCTGAAAATGAAAACAGATAGGTATTGGTTTGGACAGTCTCATTATTTTTCCGAGTTGTAAAACGTTTGACGTAAGATAGTCCTTGATCTTTCATCTCGGATACAATATCGAGCTCAGTCTTGTCTACTAGAAGATGCTCACGGTCTCGAACAATACCTTTGCTAGTATTCAGCGTTCTGTGAGCAGAAACTAACACCGGGACTCCGATAAACATGTCAGTTGATAACAGGTTGGTAGCTTGTTGTTTTCTGCTACATTCAATTAGCAGCTATCCTGAGCGCAAGCGTTCGATGTTTTTCACCTCACCTGCAATGCCAGAAACACCTTTTGAAATTGCAAATGGATTTAATTTTAAAGGAGTCTTGTCAAGAGACTCGATAACCAAAAAACGTGGCCAGTAATCAATGAGTATAGAGGGTCGTTGCTGATCATCATTTTCCAGTGGACGTTTGTTTTTGTTTGTTGGGGGTTTGGTAATCCATGATTGTTGGTATATTGGTTCGTCATCTAAGCTCCCCACCCACCACGGAGTATCATATAGACAATGCTAATAACAAGTGGATTTCCAACTTGCAGCACCAAGGATACTTGGATGATATACTCCAGCAGAATAATAAAATAATTACTCCACCAGATTGGCCCATGAGCCACCGCCTTCTGGGCAGAGGACTCTAGGCAAATTACAAAACTGAAATATTTTCGAATTTGAATATAATCATAAGCCAAGACATCTGACAAAACATTTTACAAAATGTCTAAAACTTCTGTATCAAAATATACATACACAGGGCTTGGCATGACCAGCCGATTGGTTGAACCGGGCCCATTCAACCACCCGTCTAGGTGAAGTAAGGGGCGAAGTGGTGTGTTGGGCAAAGGAACACTGTTCCTGGAACCAGTGCCCTCAACCACCAGACTCCCGTCCTCCACCGACACAGGGGCGCAACCCACGGCAAACAGGTTGGTGGACCAAATATACCCCCGGGTCCACACGGGGGGTTGAAGAGCGCTTAGCGTTACCCAGCACCCACCACGAGGAGGTGGCTCTTCACGGGTGCCTCTGCTGTATAAATGGTTGGAACAATGTTACACATTCGTAAATATATTTTACTCACCCACACTTTGGGTTGCAAAACACATTTTAACTGATAAATGCTCAAATCTTCTAGCCCGACTAATAAAACGAGTTAAAATTGGAACATACTCATGGTCCGCCTGAGTTTATCAGCTCGAGATTCCTTATTACAGTTTCGCGAGATGTGGTAGGCGCGGCGACTGAAGGGAGGTAACTCCAATAAGCTCAGTTCCCAGTTCGTTGTCAGAAAACGCGACGTGCATGCCCACAGTTGCGAATGTGATTAAGGGTAGCTATCAATTCAACCAAAGCTAAATACACCCATTTTCAGAACCACCTAAAGGTGTATTATTCAAATTTGCAAAAGTTGTAAAAAATGGTTTCCTTAAAAACCAAAATTGGAATCATCGGTAGTTTAAACGGAATGAGAAAATAACAAGTTTTCACAAAAGCATACTCACAATGTGGTTTCTGAAGATTTAGTTCTCAAATCCTCCGAATATCTTAAAGAGAAACAAGACCGTGGTATTAGCAGACTCAGAATGATTGAGTTAATTAAAAACACTTTGTTTCCGGCTTGATAACATTTCTTGATATCCAAGTGATACAATCTAGCAAGAGTACATCGTTCAAATACAGGAGCGGTGTGAGACACACGAGTGGTTAAAGTGTTCGCTCGTCACCCAGAGGACCTCGGTAAAATGGGTAAAATGTGTAAAGCCCAATTCGTAAGTCCCCAGCCATGATATTGCTGAATAGTGTTAAAAGCGGCATAAAACCATACTCACGCACTCGTTTAAATATACATCACTAATTCAGTATCGCCCTCTCTCATTTCAGTTTCTGTATCTAGAACCGAATATCACCAACCCGAGGATCGTAGCCCCCCTTTAATACCCAGCCCACCAGAGTGTACGTCTACTGTGGCATGGGTTAACCTGCTGTACGCTGATGACAGATGTGTTGCGCTCGGCTAGTACTGAGAGCAGTTACTTATCCGATTAACGCACATTCCGCTGTTCTCGTCCACTAAAATTAGTCTGGGGTGTCAATTGCAATCTAGACCTTTCAGAGTCCGTGTTTTAATCTGGCCGGGTTTCCAGCTGGGGCGATTAGTCTGGGACTTGGCTCTGACTGACGTAAGCTTCAAGTGAACTCGACTGAATCCAATTAAAGAATCTTATATTGAATCGACGACGATACCAATCGGTTGTATATAAAAACAACCAATGTCTTAATTTTCACAAGTACCGAAATAGCGATCCTGTGTTACATAGGATTGACTGAACACTTGATGCCAACAGGATCAATGGTACCGCCCTTTCAAGAAATGAACAATTAAACATTGAACTCATTTCATTTTGAAAAGCAATGTAAGTAAAGTAAACTTAAAGTGAAACTATTTGGCAAGTTTTCATATAAGCATGGGCGCATTTACGTCTTGCTTAAGCTGTTTGGATATTATAGATTTCAACAGTGTTACGAAACATTTCTGTATAATAGTATTTAACTCATTAAGAATTTACTTTTACGCTCTACGAGCTCATTGGAGTTTAAACTCTTATTGGGCGAGTGCATCCTCAAGATCTCCAGGACTCGCATTAAGGTCAACATGAACTACACTAAACGCCAAAATAAACGTTACCCTCCTACCTTTATTAATTACTTAAAAACTAGCAAAGATATGTTAGAAGGTATTAGTTTAGAAGAAAGCTTAACAACACAGCTTTATGCAAATCACGAAAAATAATTCTCAAATGCCTTCATATTTAGGTGAAATGCATCTTTTTCAGAAGAGTTAAATTGTCCTATTTTAAACGAAATAAACTAATAACAGTGATTTAGATGTCCAAAAGACAGGTTGAAATAAAATTCTGCTTTGAGACAAAGATAAAGCATTAAAGTCACCATTATTCAACTATTACAGCAAGAAACAACTGTTGTAGAGTGTGTAAAATTGTAAAATAATCATTCCTATGATTTCAGTCTTTTAAAACATTTTCTGCTGATTTGCATTAGTGAAAATAAGTAAAACGTGTCTTTGATATTGTGAAAAAGTGTTAGGAACATCTAAAATTATCTTGGTTAACAGTTTTTCCAGTTTCTGTTTACACAAAGCAATATCAATCACCAAAACGTAGCACTATTCAAGCAGTATTTGAATCAATTTCACATGTGGAATGATTCTATAGGGTATAAAGAGAGACTAGAATGTATGATATGATACACAAGTACGAGAAATATGCCATGATTAACAGCTAAAGACTGAGAAAGAGCCATTGGGATGGTGCAGGTGGGGTCAACATGCAATACTGTTGCCAACGCCCTCGGATGGCACCGTATCACGGTTATTCTTATTCAGCGCTACAGACAGACTGGGGTCACCGTAGACAGACCAAGAAGTGGACGTCCACGCAACATAACGCCAGTTGAAGATAGGTACCTCCGTCATTAAGGAAGGAGGGTAACGTTTCTTTTGGCGTTTAGTGTATGTGAGGACGATCGTAAGTGAGTGAGTGAGTTAAGTTTTACGCCACACTCAGCAATATTCCAGCTATGTGGCGGCGGTCTGTAAATAATCGAGTCTGGACCAGACGATCCAGTGATCAACAGCATGAGCATCGATCTGCGCAATTGGTAACCGACGACATGTGTCAACCAAGCGAACGAGCCTGACCACCCGATCCCGTTAGTCGCCTCTTACGACAAGCATGGGTTACTGAAGATCAGTTCTAAGCAGGATCTTCACGGGTCTAGGGTGATCGTAAAGGTAGGCAGGGTAACACAGAATGAACGTCGGTGTTTTTTAACTTCATTGAGCTCACACAAAGTGAAAGTCCCTGTTTTGTACTTCACAGGATGTCTACAGAATTTCATTTAGTACCTGTGACTTATTTTTTTAACACTAACAGCTATGAAGCGTATATGTTCTCACTGCTCTGCAGTATAACCTGTTGTATGTGAATATCATCATTAGATGAGAATGTATACAAAGAACTACCTCATTTGGTCACGT